AAAGTTTTATTACAATATTGTAGGAAACCTATGTAATGGTTTTGGTTCTGATATTTTCATTAGAGTGGTTTCAATACAGAAAAAAAAATTTTTTTTCAAGTTTTTTTTTTTTTTTTTTTTTTTTTTTTTTTTTTTTTTTTTTTTTTTTTTTGTTTTTTTGTTTTTTTGTTTTTTTTTTTGGGTGGGGGGGGGGGGGGGGGGGGGGGGGCACCACAGGGAGTCCCCGGAGGGTCCCCTAGGCTGTGAGCTGGCTGGCAGCAGCGGGCAGGCAAGGAGACTCCACACGGCTTCTGAGGGTGCTGATCAGATGGAGGTTTATTGGGGGTCCCATCCCCGGGAACAGCATGGTTACTGAAGGAGAAGGGGGGAGGGGGAAGGAGGGGGAGCCTAGGGAAGGGAAGGGGCAAGAGGGCAGGGGGAGAAGGGTTAAGAGAGCGGAAGGGCTAGGAGAGCGACTGATTTCATAGCACAGGTAAGAGGGGAATTGAAGTGGGCGTGGAATCAGATTTGGGCCAATGGGATGACAGATACAGGATGGTTCAGGGCAGGACCACAGGCTTAGAATATACCATACATTTTGGAGGGGTGAGACAGAGCATACCATTTAAATAAAATGCAATACTACAATTTATCATCTCTTCAATGATACTGAAAATAGTATCTGATACTGGAACTGCATTTGCAGATTTTAAAAAAAAAAAAAAAGTATTCTTAAAATTCCTGAAGAACTGGCAAATCAAATGTATACAAAGCACAAGGGAAGAGGAGGGGCAGACACTGATCTTTCCCCTCTGGTGACCAGTGACAAGATCCAAGGGAATGAAGCTGTGCATATATCTGTAGGGGACAGAATGAATATTTTGGGGGAAAAATAAGGAACTGTGTAGTGGACAGGTATGGAAAATTTTGCAGGCAAAACTCCAAGAGTAGAGAATGAACACTTCCAGAGAAAGATGAGGTGATGAGTAGTGGGCATGTAGGGAAAGTTGTGGAGATAAATCTTGAGAAAAGCTCCATTAAATAAATACTTTGAAGTAAAAATGAGGGAATCAGTGGTAGAAAAGTAGGGGAATTTTTTTCTTTCTAGATTGTGGATAATCAGGGAAAATATTTGCAATAAAGAAATGAAGGGCATGAGGGAAGATTAATGTTCTCATGGGAATGCTTTACAGATGTGCAGTTTCTGAACTGCACAAGTAGTCAGGCTCCCACAGAAACCTTCCAAAGCTGGAAGGGACAAGGAAGAAAATGCCTTTCTTCCTTGAGTGGTGTGAGAAGTGTGATTAGTACTTTCTCCCAGATCTGGACATCGCTGAGGTTGGAATGACTTAAAAAAAAATCATTGTCCCTCTCTTGTTCCCAGCCCAGGACTAAGTTGGTGCTCTCTGAGTGGCTGCAGCTCCCTGGATGTGGAGGGAGGAGGTCTCTGCTGGAGAGTGGGAGAAATGTCCCTGCTGATTGCTGGTTCCTCAGTGGACAGAGAACTCTGATCTTGGCAAGATGGGTTTGAGTATTGAAGCAATCCTACCCTCCTTTTCAATGAGTTGTTTTAATTAGTCAGCAGCAGGGACCACTTTTAGCCAGCTTTAGTAGGGGTCTTGCCAGATTTCCAAATCTCGTGAGGCAGGAGATTGACCTGGCTTGGGAACTAAACACTCCCGAGTAATTTTCTGGTAGCATCTCCATGTTTGACAGCTGATCCTTGTGCTGAAAGGATCCCTCTTTCTTCCCTTCAGACAATTCCAAGGCTCACTGCTCCCAGTCCCTAGTCTGGATCTTCTCATGGAGTATCCCATGGGGTACAAATTTGGTAGTTAATTCTTCTTGGCACTGCCTAGTTCTAATTCCAAATGATTTGGTGTATGCCTTACCTGGCTGAAGTCTGGTTCCAGCTCTGTTCTTCCTGCTTCTGCTGCTTTCCAGTTCCCAGGAATTCCACCAACAGAGTGACAGTGTTTTTCACCTCCTCCAGGATACCCTCTGTTGGGTCTGGGAATAATATTAAAACCTGAGTCCCCAGGGCTTTGCTATCAGGAATTACATCCCTGTATTTGTTCATTTTCTAATATTATCTCTTCCCAACAAAGCACTGGGCATCCCGTCCAAAGGATATATAAATGGATGTTATAACAACTGGTTACGCCTCTGGAACATCAGAGCTTGGAAAGAAGGGCAGCTGGGGCTTTTCCTGGTGGTGCCCATGAGGTGTATTTTAGCTAAGAGCCCCTTCCGATGTCTTCCCCTGTATTGACCAAAAATGCTTCATTTTTGGTCAAAAATGCTTCATTTTTGGTCAAAAAATGTTCATTCCCCAGCTGCTTCCTCCCTCTTTTCCTTTATCCAACAGAATTTTAACAGGTGAATATTTCCCTCTGGAATAGCACTTTTCATTCCAAACCTAGTAGCAAACAAATAATTTCCTTTGACCTTCATTATTAGGATTTCACCAAGAGCTGGTAGATGGAAAATGATCCTTCCCTGGCCCTGCTGGATTCTTGGAGCAGGGATTCTTTCTCTCCTTCCCCTGCCCCCTTTCAGGCTTTGTTCCACAGCTTTTGCTTCCAATCCTTGGATCCTTTCCCTCACTCCAGGAGCTCCCCAGCAATTCCACATCCTCTTTTCTCCCATTCTGATAATTTCTCCAGGAATGGATCTGTGCATTTCAAGTCCCTTCTCTTTCCTCCAACAGTTCCCACCAATCCACACCTAAAACTGACACAAGGAACGCTCGGTGCCCACAAATCCAAATCCAGACTTTGCCATCCCTAAACCAGCAACTCTGAACACACAATCCTGGAAAATTTGCATTAATTCAAACATAACATTTAGGACATACCAAATACTTCAAAATGCCCAAAAAACATCCTCTTGCCTTCAACTCCCAAGGGTTTTTGCTTTGAACTCCCATGGATTTGGGGATCAAAGGATTTCCCTGCAAAAACCTGTGCGGCGCACGCTTGAATGCCTGACCCTGTGATCCAAGGCGTGTTAAAAGCTTAGTCCAACCATAAATCTTTGCCAAATATCCCCCAAACCCTTGGGATAACAGAACCCTCTGCTACTGCATTTTTAGTGTGGAAAGCCAGGAATTACTTTACTATCCTACCTCCTTTTTAATGAGCTGTATCAATTAGTCATCAGCAGGGACCACTTTTAGCCAGCTTTAGTTAAGTTTCACAGTTTTCTTGTTGTTTTGATAATGAAATGGCCAAAACCTTAAGTTTGGTAAATTAAACCTGAAAATTTTAAATGAACAAATCCTGAGGGAACTGGGGATTCGGTATCTTGGATCTTATGGCCCTTCAAGGACATGTTAGATTTACCCACTGATTTTTGTGCCAAGGTAAACTCTAAGTTAAGAATAATCAAAATATGAACCAGTTCTCATGAAACTCAGCTTTTCAAAACTTTATTCAGGATAAAAAAGGATGAGAATGACCTTGGCAAATACAATAAAGAAAAAAAATCTATGCATATCCCACAGTGATACAGACCAGCAGCAAGACCACTTCTCTCATATTTCTGCTTTTTGCCTTCCAAGAAAGGGACTAAAACTTGAAAAATTGAGTAGTATTTCAACTTTGTAGCATAGTATTAAAGAACAAGTCTCAGAAACACACATCAAAGACTCAAGACTTGAGGCAAATGTCAAATTAATAAAATTAATAACAGTATTATCTAGTTGAGGTTCCTTAAGTTAACTGTAGTATCTTTGCTTTTTAATTCTGGCTGAAAACTGAACCTTTTAAATACACAGTACCCACCTGTTGTAGCAGCACAAAAGAAAACACAGTGAACTATAACCTCGAATTCCTACCCAGTTTTTAAAAATTGCTATTGTACATTGACACCTGTAGCTACCTCAGCACCCATAGTACTTCATACATGACTAAATACCCTTCCAGTCACTCTGGTGTCATCACCAGAACAAGGTTTTTAGACTCCTTGCAGGACACCTCTAACCTCAGCAGCATCTCTGCTGGTCAGAAGCACAAGGCTGGGCATGCAAGATGCCTGCAGTCTCCTAAAAGCTGGGTAAAAGGCTGCTGTAAAAAAAGGATATTAAAAAATAAGAATTTAAGCTGTAGTAAACAGCTTCTAGGAAACAGTTTTAGACTCAGTGAGACACTTGAATTTGCTGTCAGTTTGGTGATTTAAGGCTGTTCCTGTGCATCCTTCCCATGCAAACCCTGGGGAGCTTTGCCTGATAGAGACACGGAGATGATCAGCTGCTACTGCACCCAGAGCAGGGCTGCCTGCCAAACCCCCCTGGCAATGAAACCTGGACTCCCTTCAGCCCAAATCCACCTCTGGGAAACAATTAACAAGAAAATCTCATCCACTTTTCACCCAGCATTTTCTTTCACTGCACAGGGCATGCAGAAGAACTGCTTTTGTACTCCTATGTCATTGCCCAGTTCTTAGGAGTAAATACAAAATTAAGAATTTTTTTCAGTATCCCAGCATTATCAAGCAAAAAATTCAAGGTACTTGTGGAACAGTACCCAAAGCCACCTTCTGCAGTTTCTTTCATTGCCCAGGGATGAGAACTGTGACCAGACGGAAAAGAGTTTGCACTTAAGAGAGGCTATTCCAAAATACAAAGGAAACCAATTTTTTATCACTGTCTACCTCTCTGTTTTGATTATGAGGCAGCTGCAACACCTTCAGCCATAAATGGTTCATTGGCATCCTTCAACTCAACATGCATCTTTAAACTGATGTTGCAAAGGTTATGGATACAAGGCAAATACTCCTGGCCCTCAGATTAAGGATTACAATTTGGCATAAGCAAGAATAATCCAACACTTGTTATTGTTTTCATAGTTCATACTGAATAAAATACTGGGTATGCACAGTGTTAGGAAGTAGGATATTACTGCCACTTGATTACAGCACTAAGAAAAAGCATAAGTGAGTGTATGCTGCCCTGAGCAGCTGCACTGTCCTCCCTGAACATGGAGCACACAACACAGAGCACAAGGCATAACCACCTCTCCATACACAGGTTTAGCAGTTACGTGTCTTACTTGCCAGATAGTCTGAAAATACGAAGCATTTTTAATGTAAGTGTATTTTTCCAGCACTGTGCATCAGCCACCTCTGTAACTTTGTCCTGTTCCCCATTAAATGTTTGTTGCCTTTTTTTTTTTTTCTTCCCTTCTACACAAGATCCCTGAATAACAGTCATCTTTAGAAGGAGAACCTCATATCCTTGTCATAGCCCAGTTTGTCCAGGTTGGGAAGGCAAGCATACTGGATCATTGGAGGAGGTCCACACATGAGGATCAGAACATCATTCTGAGGTGGGGGCAGGTGGTCTCTGATCATCTCTTGGTTCACAAATCCTTGGCTGTAATCCCAATCTGTTAAAGGAAAATGAAAGTAGGGGATGGGAATGAGGTAAAAAGGAGGAAAGGAGAGATACAAGTCACTTTAGAAAGAAGAAATCTTGCTGATGAAGTTGTTCCCAGTTGGAACACTTACAGTGAAAGTCGGTTTTACTGGGATTGAGGTTAACCATCACATCCCCAGTCTTGGATACAGAACAAACTTGTGCTGCTGCTGACCCAAACTTTTGGGCACCATAAAACTAACACATTTTTTTTACCACAGTTTTGGTCAGACTTCACATATGACAGTGAAAGTCTGCAGAACAGTCTTGAGGAGGTCCAAGGAGGAACTTTTATCCCAACTGCTAAGATCAGTTCACGACTTCCCCAAAGAAGGAATGGCAATCAAAAATTCCAGGAGAACACTAATTGCAGTGGATGACACAACAGAAACAGAGCCTTCCGTCAATGTACCAGAGGTGTATTCTTGGTCACAAGGAAGAGGAGGCATATATGGCTTTTCCTCCTCTGCCCCAAGCACCCACTGAATAGGAGTGCGAATCTATCCTGATGGGGGTGGGCATTACAAGGAATGGTAACAAAGGAAAGCCACAAGGAATGACAGTGTTTAGCCTTCTCTCCCTCAAGCTTGTTCAGCAAGCTCAGGCGGGCATCTGTGTTCATGAGCTACACAGTGCCTCTGGCACTGCAGCTGCCTCAGGGCAGGCTCCAAACACAGGGATAACACATTGTATTTATGTCTGTGGTGAAGGAGAAAAGAAGGCCACTCTCCACAGGAGACAATGGTAAATATGTAGGTGTAGCCATGGGAGGAACACTGCACTGCCACTGGCCTGAGGTGAGCTTTGGAAACACTTCTCTGCTCATACCGGAGCCTGTGTGCATCCCTATGTGGAGAATGATGCTACTCAGACATTCACTAAGCAATGAATTCACTAAGAAATGAATCATGAAGCTCAGAAATACACCCATGACATAGCATGTCTCCTGTAAAGCACATTAATGCTCCCGAGTTTCACAAGAAGTGCCACTCCAGGTCTTACTTTCAGGCGCTGTGTCCAGTGTGTACCAACACTTGAAGCGACCAGGATTCTGAGCCTGGATCTCATCGAGCTCAGAACGCAACAGGATATCCTTCTCAGTCTGCAGGACAAGGAAAACAGTGATCACATCCTGCATGTGAGTGCAGCCCTCAGATGGCCACAGAGCAGCAGCTACTTGCACAGCCCTTAGAGATGGAAGAGATGATTCAACTCCATTTTTAAGGCTGAAGAGGACAAACCCAAGTTACTTCCACGCCTAGCCTGTGGCAGAGCTAATAGAAGGCCCATAACTTTCCCAAATCCTGACCATGCAACACCTTCCCACTAAAAATGAAACAAAGCAGAACCATCACTTAATCAGGGAATCAGAAGAATAAAGCCCCTTTTAGCACTATCACGTCATAAAACTAATCATGACTGCACAGAAGTATCTCCCTACCCCTTCATACTCTGCCATCCAGACAGGGAAATGCCAGGGTTTTTTTCACCTTTGTCAATACAAGAGTCATCAGCACTGCCATATGGAGACTGCTTGGCTTTTAAAAAGCATGTGGAATGAACAACCAAAAGGGTATCAAGTTCTGGTAGGAACAACAAACATTACTCAGGGTATCAAGCTTGACTCCTCCCTCATGCAGCATCACTGAAGGCCAAAGGAAAGCCTTATTTCCCCAAGAGCAGCTGCAGTCTGGGCAGGAAGGAAAAGGGCTGGGACTGAAAGTGTTGCCAGCCCCTGCAGCCATAGCAATTTGGCACAGAGGTCACCACTAAGTCTGTAACTGTGGGGATAAGGAGGAATGTGCAGCAGCTATTCCAGAGAAGGTGCTATTCCTGGATCTGCAGCTGTGGGTACTCCAGAAAAACTCCTGCTGGCTCTAGCCAACTCAAAGTGTGCCAGCCAGAAGCACAGTAGGAGTCCATGTACATTGTTTTAAACACTTTTAAAATATTTTTAAAAACTGCTCCCTATTTGTGGAGTTACTGTGTGCAAGGACTCTTTAAAGCCAGGGACTGATGTTTCCATAGTCTGTTGCTAACAGGCAGGGAACTTTTCCCCAGGCTCTCCCTCCCAGATGCAGTGGGCTTCCCAAGCTACCACAGCAACTCCAGCCCTGTGTTAGCCATTCTGAATCATTCCTAGCAAATCCTGCCCCTCCTGCCCTGATACTGCTGCACTTTATGCCAAATCCAAGGGCTCCAGCCAGCGGCAGAGAGCACTGGCAGGGTTCCTCAGAACAGGGAATCTCAGCACTTTGATCATAGCTCCTGGGCAGAAAAACCTCAGGTTATAACTCAGGTATCACAGAACTGCCTGGGCTGGAAGGGACCTGGAAGCCCATCCAGTTCCACCCCACAGGCTGCTCAGAGCCCCTTCCAACCTGGTTTTGGACACTGCCAGGGAACCAGGGGCAGCCACAGCTTCTCTGAACAACCTATGCCAGGGCCTCACAGGGAAAAATTTCTTCCTCATATCCAATCTAAACTTGCTCTCTGTCAGTGTGAAGCCATTCCCCCTTGTCCTGTCACTCCAGGCCCTTGTCAAGAGTCCTTCTCCATCTTTCTTGTAGGCATAGATATGGCACAAATGAATGAACACACACTGAATATGAGAAGAAAAACAGAGAAGAGCCTAAAGAAGCTAAAAGCCACAAGCATGAAGTGAAGCTCACCACAAATAATGACTCAATCCAAACACAAATATTCATTAGAAGGAGAAATTAAAAAGCAGAAAGTCACAGTAGAAGAACATCAGGCCAAGAAGGGGGTATTGCCCAGCAGCACACCAGCAATTTGGGTTTTCCAAGAAATCTCTCTTGCAAGGATTCCATGGATGAGAGCTTCCCTCTGGCCAGCATGCAGGATGCCACACCTCAAGGAGCAAGAGAAGCAGTCAAAAACTGACAGAAGGCTGAAAATAAAAGCAGACAGCTGAGAAGAACCATAGCTCTGGAACTGAGGGAGCTGCTGAAGACCACCATTAGTTTTAGCCTCACCCAAGATGTCCTCAGACAGAAAGATTCCACAGACAAACACTGCTGCAAAGCTGGGGAGTTGAAATTGCTGGAGGAGACAAATGTCCACCCGTTTCATGTTTCCACTAAGAAAGACAGCTCTGAAAGTCTGCCTGAAACATTAACAACTTGCACAAAGGAATGCAGGGCTTTAACATTTATAAACTGGATTAGAAACAGAGCGATGAGTCACAGGAAGGCAAACAGCAATCCCTTCCGTAGTAATACTAAACCCTCAATTTATCACAGTACTTTTATAAGAGAGGTTTCCAACACTTCAGTTCACTTCTCCCCTCAGGGTTTATATCTGTGAGTTCACTTGCTGAGTGGAGTCCTGCTAGGTAAGTAAAACACTACAAACAGAAAAAAAAAAGGACAGAATTACCTGATTAGCAAACAGCAGCTGGCAAGTGGTGGGGTCATCTTTGTCCTTTATGATTGCTCGAATGATCTGCAGCATAGGTGTTATCCCTGGGGGAGAGAGGCAGGCCAGTGATGTGAGGACGAGGAGTAAAAGAAGGGAGAAGTGGGAAAATGTAAGGAAATGCATCTACCAGTTGTCAGAAACCACAGATGAATCCTTACAGATACCTACCAGTCCCCCCTGCAATCATCCCCACGTATTTCACTGTCTTGGTAACTGGTTCAGCTTTCTTTTCTGGCCGAATATCAAACTTGCCTGAAGAGAGAAAAAGAGATGGAAAACACTGAAGCAAGCAGGAAACACCTCCTGTTACCCTTTCCAGCACATCCTGCTAAACTGACTTCGTTTTAGCCCTGCCACCCTTCCCTCCCAGGGAACAAAAAAGGTGAAAATGTCCTGAATTAGAGCAATCCTGAAAGATGATTTTAAGACATGAGGTGGTAACATCAGACACTGACAAGGGTTATGATTATCTCTGATCACAGCCTGCATGCACACCACCTGTATTTCAATTTGCTCACACCCCATACCCCCAGTGACATTCACAAGCCCAGATTCTGGAAACAGTTCTACATTAAGGAATTGATCTGCCCAGAAAGTTTATTTCCCCAGAGCAGATTGTTTTAAATTAAAACACAAAATATGCAGCATGGGTTTTTTTTCATTTTTCTATTTTTGAGCCAAACACAACAGAGAGTCTGAAACTCCCCGAAGTTTTGGGCTGTATTCACAGCTCTCTTCATCCAGGATAACATGAATGCTACATACAAAGCTCCGGAAAACCACACGTCAGAGTTCTGCTTCACATAAAACTACCAGAAGGTTTTTGTGACACATTTGTGACTGTGTTATACTAACAGAAGGTATTTTACATTGACATAAAAGCAATGCCTACTCAAAGTTCATTTTTACTTGGGAAATTAGCAGTGGACAGTGCAAATACCCAGTGTTTTTGTCAGTGTATAAACTGTGCCCATATAAGCACGGAAAAAACCCATCCTTTACTTGGGAACAGCATCAATAAAAAAGCACTTCTATAGTAATAAGACATTTTTCCTGTACTGTTTGCTCTGGGTAAATTCTATATTCCAAACCAGCCTTGCCTTTTCCTTTGTACACAAGGAGGCCACTTGGTCCTCTGAAGTCAATGGTGTCCCCTATTTTCAGGCTGTCCAAGTATTGAGACATCTTCCCCCCACCAGGAAACTTGGGATGGACACCTCTGAAGTAGACCTGTTAAAAACAATAACAAGGCAATTCAGTCTCACAGCTCAGAGAAGAGTATTTGCCCTTGAAATTTTTAGGTACAAATACTCCTCATGCAAACACAATTACTCCATAAAGAAATGCACTGTCCGACTGACAAAGACCAAAATGCCACTCCTGCCCCAATTTTTTGACAGAGACCAGTGATTTCTCCATTGTAGTTCTGCAACATAGAAAATATTGATAATAATCAACACAATTTACACCCAAGTTTAAAAGGGGCTAGAAAAATAAAGAAAAAACCCAAAACATTGTGATTCCAAAGTGCAAAATTCTAAGAGGAAACCCAGTGCAGATATTAGTATTCTAAATTCCTAACAGCTTTAAATGATAGGTAGTCTAGCTACCAAGAGGCAAAACAAAGGTACATTATCACAAGAGTTAAAATCACATTCTTACCAATTAAATTCATCATTCCTACTGCCTGGATCAGTAATGATAATGATCATTACTCTCTGATCATAATGACCAAATTCCATTAGCTTCAGAAGCAGCTGCCCATTCAGGCAAGGTAAACTCCTTATTCCAGAAGGATTAAAAAGCATATGAACATCTGCAGGTCTACACAGAGGGTGGAAATGATGCAGCATCTCATGAGACACCCTCACTAAAGAAGTGCCTGCAGAATGCCATGTGGACTGTAGGTAATGGCACATTCCTGAAGAGAAGCCAGTACACCAAACTTCACATAAAGGCACTGTAAAGGTGGCTCAGAAGTTGCCCAGGCAGGGAACAGAGCATGACATTCTCACCTTGACAACAAGATCCACAAAGCCCTTGTCATCATCACTGGAAACTGGAGTGTAAGGTCTGACAACCAGAGCTCCATCAATCCGTGCAGACAGGTAGATGTGCTGCCCTATTGCAGGGAAAAAAACCCAAAAACTAATTTTCTTTCAAAAGATTTTTCTTTCAGTGGATGTGCTGAAATGCAGCCTCAAAGCTCTAACTACCTTATTTTTGGGCATCACTTCTTCCTTTCTTATTTTCCTAACACTGCCAGAGTTGTTAGCCATGCACAGATCTACCTGGAAGGACAGACAACTCCACTGCTAATTCTATGTGCCAATCATAACTTCATGCATTTACATTTACCAAAGCCTGAACTGCACCCGAGATCTTTCAAAAGATGGGATTTGTCTCTCCTATACAGGCAAATAAAAGGGACACAGGAGGGGAGAACTGTCAAATGCTGTTCACACATCTTTATTAATGTATTGGCTGTAAACTGCCACAGTTTAGTTAAAACTGAGTTTGTAACTGTTCTTGCTTTGACCATAGATCCCTCACATCTTCCAGGAGCTCTCCAGCTGCCTTTGCTAAGGCTGCCTAGACACAAAGCACTTTTCTAACCCTGCTATTCCTCCAGCTTAACATGTGAATGGAGCAACCATGTTTCCATCTGTCACACATCCTCAGAGCTCTCTACAACAGTTTCTCTTCTCAATGTATACATATTTTTTTCTGAAAAAAGCAAGAAAATAACTAACTTCTATGGAAGGTTTTCCTATAAATTTCCACTACTCTGAAGACACCTAAGTGAAGATTACCCAGGAGGGGAGGGAGAGGTTTTGAATTTTGGGGTTTTTTTCACCATTAGGTCAACAGAGCAAAGCATCTCCAAAGATGGCACAGCTCCTCTGCCTGTTACGGGAACATGACAGAGGGGATTTTTACCAGGAGCTGGTTTGCAAATTATCATAATGACCATATTACATTAGCTCCAGAAGGAGCTGATCCTTCAGGCATGCTACTTCAGAAGGATTACAAAGTGCTAGGTGAAGGAAGATGTGCTACTTGGTGACTTGGGGAACAAGCAACCATAACTCACCTGAAGCATGGACATCATATTCCAGTAACCCTCCCAGCAAAGCCTACAGACATCCTGCTAGGGCAGACCTGGAGGGAACTGCAGCAGGGAGCTCCTGCTCCTTCTCTAGGGCAGAAGTGGCTGCAGGCACAGACCCACAGAACCCTGGTGACCCCTGCAGACTGCCAGCCTGGACAGTGGGGCTGCTGCTGGAGCACACCTCACAAGAACTGGTACAAAGCAGAAAAGGTGCCCCTCCCAGAGAAAAAATGTGCCTTATGCCCTCGCCTGTTAGAGCTTTACCCCACCCTGACAGGACATAAGTTGGCAGTCTCTGCATGGGGCCACATACAACCCTCTCCCTCAGAATGAAGCTTTCAGTGGTTCAATGTCCATTTTGGGCAAGTCAGGGAAAGGAGCCTTGCTTTCATGCCTACTAAAAAGATCAAGAGATTTTTAACGTCCCAAAGAAGATTGAACTTAACACCTGGAAAAGGTGCTGACAACAACCACAAAGCACAGGAGCCACGGATCACTGGATCACTGCAGCAGCTCGTTAAAGCCGAAGTTCTATTAAACGCAAGTCACAACTAAATGCTCTTTATACAAGCAGGAGGAAAAAATGGCACTAAGCTGTTATGTAAGGCACCACACCACGTGGCAGGGTCTTTGGAAACAGCTACCCCTGGGTGATTCACTAGTTCAATGAAATTCAGAAGTGAGTAGATCATCTGGTAAACCACAAGTGCTAGAGGAAGTGGATGAGAGTGGTGCCTCAGGGCACAGAAGGGGACTGGAGGGATTCAGCCCCATAGGAATAACACGTACTGGAAAAGACAAGTGAAGACCTGTGTTTGTTCCTACACTCTCCACAGAAACAAGCTGTATGTTCACTCACATACACTGCATTTCAGAACCTGCAGATAACTCACAGCATGAGGATAATCTTGCAGAGCTCTCAGTAACAGCTCCAGCCACATGAGCAGTATTCCAAATACAAAACATAGGGAAAAAAAGCCCCACAAAACCTTTATAATTAATAATTAAGTGTAATTAATACAAGCAACACTTGGATTAATCATAAGGAACATACCTAGAGGGAGACCCAGAACGTGCTCCATGGAAGGGAGAGCAAATCGAAATCTCCTTGTGTCATGACTAACTTCCTGAAAGAGGAAAAACAGAACAGTCAGCTCTGTTGTTGGGATTTAATGTTTGTGATTTCACTTCTAAAACAAGACAGGTCTGGCATCCTGCAGGATTAAGAATTAATGACACTTAAAGATACCTGTGTGCAGATTAAGACTAAGTGATAACTTTCCAAATATTATGGACATTTACACTGCCTTCTGTGAGAAGGTCACAAGACATTAATTAATTAGTTCTTCAATTCTCATTTCAAGTTTAAATATGCAGAAGTTCAAGGCCAAAGTAGTCTGATTTTCATCTCTCAAAATCAGATGAATTAACCATTTCAATGGAAGTAGCAACCAGGTTCCTCCAGCTGTGGTAAGGTTCTTAAAATATTTTCCCTGTAAAAACTGAATTAATCCATAAATGAAATTGAAAAGAGCACTATGTTTAGATATGAACAAAATGATGACAATACATCCAGTCCTGCTGGGATAATTATTCAAATCTTTACTAGGAAAGTCACACCTTTAATAAAATTTTGGCAGTAAGTAACTGAACACTATTTCTTATATTATGTAAATTTTATGTTTCAAAAATCAGGTCGTATTCACAGGAATGGAAAACAGCAAAAAATTAAAGACAGAAAGAAACATCATACAGCTTAGTGCCTCATCCAGTGACTTTCTGTTTTTAAGGGCGTTGTAACCCTTGTTTTGTTTGCCTGTTTTTGAAGTAACCAATAGAGACAAATTTCTTTCTCACAGTTTGTCTCATCTTCCCTTGCTATGGTTATACTGACAAAATTTTCCTCACAGTACCTCATTTTAAGGCAAATTCTGAAGAAGAAAGGAATTAATTGGCAGTCTCAAAAGTGCTTCTCTGTACTTATGTCTATTCAGGAGCAGTAACTGCCACTGCAAATTCCTTTAGAAAGACAACTAATGTGGACTTAACAATGCTGCTGTTTCTGTATGGAAATCACTGGATTTTGCCAATAATGCTGCATTTTTATTATGCCGTCTTTAACAGTATACAAAAAGAACAAAGCTCTGAATTCTCACTTAATCACCTCACCAATTAAAGTCGAGAGAGTTTAGCTGAAGGTGAATAACACAAGTATTTTGGTGCATCCTGAGGCAACTGTGAGAAACTAAGAGGCTCAGGGAATCCCCAACACCAAGATCAGCATGCCTGTGCCCCTCTCTGTCACACAACCAGGACACCGATCCTGTCACCCCACAAGGTGCCATCAAGGCTGGATTACAAACAGCCTTGGATCAGGATGCACTTTCAGCACGAGATCATTCCCCTTTGGCACTGCCCTAAGCACCTGGAAGCCCTTGGCCACACGCTTCTGTCTCAAACTGCAGTGCCAAGGAGTCTTCCACCCTTGCCAAAGGCAAAGCTGGAGAACAGATTTTGCAGAAGCCACTGAAAGGCAACAAATTACTTACGCACACCATTACAAAACCAACCAGCCAATCTGAAGTTGTTAGCTTTTTTTTAAGGCATGAACTAAATTAGCACACCTAACCATATTATAGAAGATTTTTCTTATGCTATGCACTAGGAAGCAGCCTTGAGACTCCTACTTCTCTGTTCAAGAGACAGGTGTGGCAGACTCAATTTGGACGCATCACACAATCATAGAAGGATTTGGGTGGAACGGACATTAAAGATCACCAAGTTTATCCCCCTGCCATGGGCAGAGACACCTTCCACTATCCCAGCTTGCTCACAGCCCCATCCAACCTGGTCTTGGACACTTCCAAGGATCCAGGGACAGCCACAGCTTCTCTGGGCAACCTGTGTCAGGGCCCCTCCACCCCCACAGGAAGCAATTTCTTCCTGATATCCAATCTAAACCTGCTCTCTGTCAGTGTGAAGCCATTGCTCCTTGTCCTGTCACTCCAGGCCCTTGTCAAGAGTCTCTCTCCATCTTTCCTGTGGGTTCCCTTCAGGCACTGCAAGGCCACAATGAAGTCTCCCCAAAACTTCTCTTCTCCAGGCTGACCAATCCCAATTCCCTCAGCCTTTCCTGACCTCATGAGAAGTAAGAAGTCTATAATAACAGTGTGGCTGCAGTACACCTGGGAAATAAATTCAGCAATGCAGCCCAGCCCAAGCCACAGGGAAGCTCTCAGTTCCCACAAACCCAGGATTCAAAATGACAGTATTTTTTTTTGTTTCCTTGGACAGAACCAGTGAAAGCCAAGCTATCAGTGCACCCTCTAAACCTCAAACAAAGCCCTGTTCCAGTCCAAAGTCTTCTGATAAATAGTCATAGCCTTAAAAAGTCAACACTAAAAATATCCTCAGGTGTGACTTTACACCTGAGAAGCCAGGATTTCTCCCTCATGCTTTTGATGGCGGGTTTATCCAATAGAAACCTAGACTTTTCAACTTTGGTGGCTTTGGCTCACTTCCCACAAGCTTAGGAACCAGTTTCTGATGGCAAGATGCACCCCTGAAAGCATCATGACCTTCCTCTGGTATCCCACTTGAGCATGCATTTAATTTTGTACCGGAAGGCTTTACTTTTAACAGAGAGTAAAGAAGCTGAAGACAGCTTGGGTACTGTCAGGACTGCATTACTTAAACACACTTTTCTTCCTGTAAAACATTACAGTATATCAATCCAGTAACAGGAACCAGCATCAACATAGTTCTGGCAGCTGCTGTTGAATGCCACTGACCATGAAAAAGCTGCCAGCTCTGCCTGACAGCATGACTTGCGGCCCTTAGCCCAGTCAGTGGTGCACAGTTTGGCAATTTCTGCTGACACACGTCACTGTAAGTTTGATCATTTCCAAGCAGCATTCTCCACTCTAAAATGTTTGGAAACAAGCTGCTTGCAGAACTGCAAGTTAAACCACACAAAGAGCCTTTATAAAGAAGTCCTTTCCTCAAGACAAAAGTATTCACCCTGTTGGGACATCACCCAAGACTTCAGAAGCTGTAAGCATTTCACAGCGCTCACGGAGAGGTCATGTTCAGCACTGCATGTGCACCTACCTCCTTATCAATCAGCCTCAGTGCATACTTCACTTCTGGGTCCTTGAGGGTAATTGCAGGTTGGGGATTCCTGAAGAGCCTCATGAAGGTGGTGTAGATCAGCCATATTGGGTATGTCACAACCTGATGCAACTGCAGCAGCACAGAAACAGCATTAGACACGTGAGCAGAATGAGTTATTTGGATGACAGGGAATAGGGTACTATGCCACAGCACTACTAACCACCAAAAAGAATGTGTTTATTTGAGCAAAAGGAAGCATTATTAAAAAAAAAAAAATCCCAAACCCATTGCATTGTGAAGACCTGGCATCACTCCTGTCTTGAGGCACTTGCACACCAGCACGGCGCTGCCATGCTGGCAGCTGGACACAAAGTGAGGCTGTCACAGCTCCATATCCCCAGGTGCCCTGACAGGGAGGCTGAATCCCCATCTCCAGCACGCACACAGACATATGTATCACACATATCCAAATACACACAGAATATCCTGAGTTGAGAGGAGCCCATCAGGATCATCCAGTCCAACCCCACACAGGACACCCCAATAACCACTGAGAATGTTGTCCAAATGTTCCTAGTGCACTGTCAGGGTTGGGGGTGTGACGATTCCCTGGGGAGTTCCAGTGCCCAACCACCCTTTGGGGGAAGAACCTTTTCCTAATATCCAGCCTAAACCTGTGGCAGACCACACTGATCAACATAGCCAGACACACACAAACAGCCCTGGTGGGCTCATCCTGTTCCTGTCCCCACCGATCGGGATGAAGGTCCATGACTGGGAATTCCATACACACACACCTGTACGATGTGGATCCCCCAGCAGCTGGTTTTGCCCTGGCAGAGTGGTGTGCCCACTCCCCAGGTTCCCCAGCTGCTGCCATCTGGACATAGGGGACACTGTTGAACAGACCCCTTCACTGGCCACCCCACGCACTGCTGACACCCCATAATTTGGGGTCTCGCACTTGAGCACAGACCCTGTTCTCTTTCACGCAACTGAGCACTGCTTTGCCAGCCATGCCACGCTGCTGCTGGGTGTTGGCACCATGCACACACCCTCCAGCTCAGAGTTTGGGTGCAGGCACTAGCATTTCCACCACCACAGACCTGTGCATGCAGAGCAGCACCCCTTCCTTAGGAAAGCAGCTAAGCTGCAGGACACAGCCAAGGGACAGTCCCTCTTGTGCCTTTACCATCATTTTCCCCACCTCTGAAGCCCTATATGACAAGAACAGATTATGCTCTGACACCACACAACCCTCTTCACATTGCGGCAGGAGAATAAACTGCACAACTACTTAGAAAAATCCTCTTGGACTCAGTAATTTATTATTCAACACGTCAACAAAGGAGAGGGGGAAAGCATGACTATAGCAAAAATAGAAAAAAAATGAGCTCAAAGTTCTGCCTGCTTAGATTTCACTTTCGTTTTATTTTAAAGGGACCTGCATAATATTTTAGAATGACATTTGTGCAACTATGGCAGTCACTCAGGAGGCTATAAAAACTTCCTACACTATTAATATTAAAACTGTGGGACAGCATAAATTCTCTCTTCTTAAAGTGGGTTTAAAGTGTATCATCACATACACATGTGAGGGCACACCATGCCATACACACACTGCACTTTTCACTTTTACTTGCAAATACTGAAATAGCTCCATACAGGTTGTTTCTGAAGAAGCTGAAGTTCACAGGAAAATTATTCCTTAACTCTCATAGATCCATCAGATTACTGCAGCTCTGGGAAGAAATTTTGGTATTGAGTCACAAAAAAGGGCAGAGGGAGGGAAATTGTTCAAGGTGACAGAGCAGCAAGTAAACTCATTAATGAGAAATTAACATGTGAGTGAGGTCTGGAGGCAATAGCAAGCTGACTGTGCAGCAGGTGTTTCAAATGAGACCTAAGTTAAAACAGTTTCATTTCCAAATGTGGCTAACTCAAATGAACAAAAAACAGAGCTGCTGTTGTCAGGCAGTGAGAAATAATTTTAACACAGCGTTAACCTCATGGAAAGCAATCTGTTATTTGTGGTCAATTAGTGCAAAAGTCTCATGGGATGTGGCCTGGAAAGACACAGCACACCCCCTAATTCAGACAGCTATTTTAGGCCCTTACTCAGATCTATCACCAGGTGGGCAGAAAAAAGGGGAAGAACTGAAGGCTGAATGATTACAAAAAGCCATGCTTGCTAAAACAAGCATTCTCTGAGTTAAAAGCAGCCTATATACTCTCACCACAGGGCAAACCAAGATATAAATGAAGATAACTGCACAGCATCAGGTCTCCAGCAGCAGAGAGCAACAGGCTGACCACAAGACCTGGGAATCACTAAATGGGGACCTTGTGACTCATCACTTCCAGCTGCACAAATCTTTGTGAACAGATGAGGCAGGATTAGTAAAAGAGCAGGAATTTTTATTAATGGAGAAAGGCCTCTGTGTGAGAGAAAAAAGCCATGGAGACTGCAGTGCCGGGGTGTGGTGAGCACAGCACAGTCCAACACACGAGCTCAGAGTTCGACACCCCAGCACTGCCCTGCCCTACAAGCACACAAACTAAACCCTGCTTTGGCATGAGACACATTGTACCCTGGGCTTCAAACACCCTGGTTTTGAAGGAATAGCAGCTAACAGATTCTTCTCACCTGTTTCAGAAAACAACGAGAAGATAACAGGATTTCTTCACTTCTGCAGCTTTAGCCTCATCTCCCCTGTTCAATGGACATTATGAGCAGCTGTACCCAAACGAGCACATGTTGAATCCAGCTCAATCCTGTCCTCTCACAAACCCGAAGAAAAGAGTGTTTGAGCACCGGAGCAAAGAACTGTAACAGGCAGCTGAGAAAAGAGGGTAATGATGTGGGACAGAGCTGACAGCGCTACAGACCCACTCCTCAGCAAGCACGGTCATCGCGGGATGGTTTGTGTTGGAAGCGACCTTAAAAATCATCTCGTTCCAACACCGCGGGCAGGGACACCCTCCACCACGCCAAGCTGCTCAGAGCCCCATCCAACCTGGCGTTGGACATTGCCAGGGATGGGGCAGCAACAACTCCGGGTAATCAGTGCCAGGGCCACACCACGCTCACAGGGAAGAATTTCTTCCTCACAGCCACTCGAAACCTACAGTCTGAAATTACTCCGACGGGGAAAACACCACAAGCGTCCAGAGCCCCCAGCAACAACAACAGTAAGAGTAACAACAGATCCGTGGAGTTGGGAGGACAAAACGCCCCGGCCAGGCAGCCAGCAGAGGCACCAACACCGCCCAGGGCGCGGCAGCTGCGGGACGGCCCCAGAGCCTGCGCAGCGCTGCGGGGCTCCCGGCACCGCGCGGTCCCCGAGCAGCGGGGAACAGCGGAAGGCAGCGGAGACACCCCGGGACACCGCCCCGCCCCGGAGCGCTGCGGGCGGAGCCGGGACTGTGCAGGAAGGAACCCCGCTCCCAGCCGCCCCCCTGCACTCACCACGCTAAGCTGTGCCCCCATCGCTGCCCCGACACACCGCGGTCACCGTCCTGATCCGCCCCAGAACGTCACACTCCGCGATGAACCGCGCCGATCCCGCTCCGCCCCGTGACGAGATACACAGTGCACACCACGGCCCGCCCCGTCTCGTGACGTCACGCACTGCGATGAGCTGCGCCTGTCCTGCTCCGCCCCGTGACGTCAGACACCGCCCTGGGCTGCGCCCCGCCCCGTCTCGTGACGTCACGCACTGCGATGAGCTGCGCCTGTCCTGCTCCGCCCCGTGACGTCAGACACCGCCCTGGGCTGCGCCCCGCCCCGTCTCGTGACGCCACGCCCCGCCACGCCCCGCCCCGCCCCGTTATGCCCGCGGGGGTGATCTGGAGCTGTGTGAGGGTGGCGCGCTCTGGGCGCCCTTCTGCGTTTGTTAACTGCCTCAGTAATTACAGACTGCCATGTGTTTAAGGGATTTTCAAGATCACCAAGTTCCACCCCTCCTGCCATGGGCGGAGACACCTTCCGCTATCCCAGCTTGCTCACAGACCCATCTGGACTCGACGCTTCAGGGATCCAGGGACAGCGACAGCTTCTCTGGGCAACCTGTGCCAGGGCCCCTCCACCCTCGCAGGGAACAATTTCTGCCCAATAGCCAATCCAAGCCTTTTCTCTGTTAGTGTGAAGCCATTGCTCCTTGTTCTGTCACTCCAGGCCCTTGTCAAGAGTCTCTCTCCATCTTTCCTGTGGGTTCCCTTCAGGCACTGCAAGGCCACCACAATGAAGTCACCCCAAAACTTCTCCAGACTGAATAATCCCAGTTATCTCAGCTTTAAGGATTAATTAATGACAATGTTTTTCCAAAAAGCACCTGAACTGAGCTGTGCAATAAAATACGATTTCAGCCAGGCTCCCTTAAATTTTGGTTTACACCAGTGAGTGAATATTAGTGACTAATAACCACATGTGTCTTTGTGTCTGTGCTAAACATGAAACACTTCAAATCTCTTTAATTAATATGTCTTCACATATTATGTCCTCACAACATGCCTTCAATGATTCCTAGACAATTTTTCCTTACAAAATCAAGAAAGGTGTATGCTTGGCAGTCTTAAAAACAAAATGATTTTTAAAAAATGTCCTCCCTCATCCCCCGGGCTCACACAGAGGTGCTGAGCCCCTGTGTGCCCAAGTAGATATTTTCTTTCATTCTCATGGTTTGCTGAGTGTGCAGTTGGCTTATCTAGCTGTGAGAACATAAGTCCATCATGATTAACTTATTAAACTTGAGAATTAGCACTGGGAAGTGAAAGAATATTAACAGACCAACCTAATGCTAAGAAGGTCGTGCCTCAGTCCAGGTATGCACATTTAACTGCAGGCATGGAGTTATTTATTCCTGTTTTTTCTATGACAAGAACATGCCTGGCTCTGTAATCCTCATCGTTTTCTCTTTCAGGATGACAGCTGCATGCAGCAGAAACTCCCCAGCAAGTGCAGGGATTGTAACACCACTGGCTACAGAGAAGGACTCCAGGACTGAGAGGCTGAGGCTTAGGAAAAGGGAGATAACTGAGACAGGCACAGGGATCCTGGAATTTGTTGGGAAAAAATCTGGCAGGAGAGGCTCCAACTTGAATATTAATATTTAAGGAAGGGTGGAGACCTCAGTGTACCCATGCTCTACTTTCACTGTGCTCTGACCTGGCTGGCTTCCAAGTGACCAGCCTAGGCTGTGTCTCCACTGCTTTTCAGTGTGAATCAGCTTGTGCGGACTTGGCAGCAATAGTCAAAGCTCCCAAGGGAATGTCCAGCATCCTCAGTGTCTCATAAACTTTGCTCTTTCCATGTAAAATGTGATTCAAAGACCTGCTCTGCTTTTTCCTGGGAAAGAACTGAGTGTGCTGTAGATCTGCAGGATGCTTGTTCTAGCTGGCCGCTTTTACTCAGTCTTCCTGAGCAAGCCTGTCCAGCCCAAACGTTCCCTTTGTGCTGGTGTGAGCCTTGACTGCTTTGGTCTGGAAGCCTGTAAAACTCAATGTTCTCACTCACACCTCTCTAGATTAACCAAAGAGGTTTAAATAACTCTTTCTCCCCTCAGGGAAGTGTAAGCACCAGACTAGAGGTGACAAACCAACACTTATCCGTTGGCCACCTTGACTGGAAAAGTAAAATATTTAGGCCAGAAATGCACAGAGATGCCTACATGCTATAGAAACATGTTTTATTCCCTTGGATTTCCTTGATCCTTTATGTTGGCAAAGGTCAGCATCTGATGCTTTAGGTGGTGGTTTTGTCAGGCAGAACTTCTAGAAGTTTTTTGCCCCACTCCTTTGGAAATGCTGGCTACGTTTGAGTGAGACAGCACCAAACACTCCCACCATTCCCTTGGGACAGAAAAAGAGGAACAGAGCACAGAGGCAGCATGGCCTCAACTCTTGCACAAAAACCACGTCCGCTGCCCTGTGCAATGGGTTTGACAAAGCACTGGCTGGGCTCTGCTGCAGAGGAAGCCAATATCTGTAATAACACCCATGTAGACACCAAGGCTGCTCTCTGCACACTCTCTTTTTCTGTGTTAACCCGGGAATGACCCAGATTCTGTGCTGATCTAATTTGCCTTTGATCAGTGTTTAGTTTCTGTCAGCAAACACACTCTTTCACTCTCCTCAGGATCTCTGAATTTTTCTTGTATCAGTGACCAAATCAAAAGACAAAAATTTTAAAAGACATACAAGTACACAGTTGTGAAATTGCTGGTGATGCTACTGAGCTGTAATTTTATTAAAGATTAACTTAAAACCATTGAGTCCAGTGATGATGCTGCTTGTAAGTGAAAATTCCCTGGGCTCCCATCTGGGCTCTTTCTCCTAATGTGAGTAAAGAAGTTGCATTTTTTTAATAGACAGAATATGTCCACTGGCTTTTGTATTTTAAATGAAACCACAGAAGAAGAGTGCTTGCATTCAGTTGATAAACTGGTGCAGTTGACAAATCCAGGGCACTGGATTTTTGCCATTTACCTTTTTTACCCTTAGCTGCAATAAATACTAACCAAAGATGTAAAGAAAATTTCTGTTAAAATTAAGGATCTTCAGTTTTGAGATACTTCAGTTTCCCCTACCAGTGTCAGAAGGAAGCTTCACTTTTAAGTGTATTAAGTGGGATGCATGTCTTGTTCTCTATGCAATTTTGTGTGTCTTCATCACCAGGGGCTTTACTTAGCCCTAAATTGATTCTTTGAAGGGGTTCATGGACCAGAGGTGCAGAACCACTTGTATGACTGGTAGCTAGCATCAAGCCATTCTGTCTTCTCTATATGCATATATCTAGTTTAGACCTAAAAGGATGCTTTTCAGAAATTAATTAGGATGAAGAAGAAGATGTCACAAGTACCAACCAAACAACAATAAGCTTTAAACCATCTGAAGGCTGATTTAGGCACATAATAAATGCAAGCTTCCCAGGACAGGCACCAGCACCTGCCACCACTTGCTTCCAGTGGCACATGCAAAGTTCTGCCTTTCTAAAACATTTATTGTTTATAACACCTCCTAATATTCACAAGATCACACTTAGAAGTTCCAGCTGTAAATAGAGATGCATTTGTTGGAGTTTTTCCTTCACCACCTTTGATTTTTTGATCTCAGATTAGTTATCATCTTCCTTTCTACTGTCAAATAATAACTGGATACAGAATAACAGTACTAGAATGTCCCATCCATTTCAAGGCTGTTAGGCTTGTAGTGCTTCTTTCTGGGCTAAAACTTCATCCAGAGACATAAAATCCATTTGGCACATAATCCATGATGCAAGATAAAGTGAGACAGGAGCCTGCTACAGGTGCCTCTGACTTCCTAGTGTGAGTGTTCCTGCACTGAGAGCAGTGTGAGTTGTGGTGCTGTCCTCAGACTCTTGTGGGAATTGGCACCTCCTGCCTCTCCTGTACCTTCCTGCCAGGCTGAATGACAGTCCTCACCAGGCAAGAGGAGTGGAAGGGGAGCACATCTCGTGCCTTGGACTGCGGGAGGATTGCTGAGCTTCTGGCTGCCTTCTCCCTGCTCAGAGTATTTCCCAAGAGAAAAACTTCTTCCCAGCACGGCAAGTGGGTAAGAGACAATCATACTAATTCTCCTCTAACAGGCAGGGTAGGGGAGGTGGGATATATTTTTCTGTAAAAGGGTGAATATTACATGACATGCAGCACAGCAAGAACCGTCTTCCTCTTTCTGTTCTGTTTTACTGACTCACTGCAGTGAAAAACATTGGTGAGGCTACCGAACCACTAGCTTAAAATGAAGGTGATGCTAAAATCAGATTGTGCTTCAATATAGCTGGTAACTTAGAATCAGTTATTCAAACATCATTTGCCTGCCCAGGACCTTGACAGATTGTTCCACTCTCATGTTTGCCTGTTGTCATTGCCTTTTCCTTTCCACATACATAACCTGCCTTATGTATCTTTTGGTATTTTAATATGCCAAATATAAATACCAGCTTTACATGAACAAAAAAAAAATCACTGAACTCAAATAGAAGACATAGACACTGGCATAAGATGAAAATCTAGAGAATTGTTTCTGTCTTCTGTTGCATATATTTCACAGCACTTGAACCAAGTTTTTTAAATTATTGGAAACTTCTTGTAAATGGCTGCTCATCAGGTATTCCAAATCCTTTTCTTCTCTATGTAAAGGTTAAAGGCTGTATAAAATTGCTTGTCATTGAAAGGATGACCTCTGAAAGTAAATTTACTTTGGAGAAAGTGTTCAATCAGACCTTTCAATCAGGCCTGCAGGCTTCATGTGACCCATTTGCAATACCTGTTCTTGCTCTAACACTGCTGACTTATTTGCCACATTATTTGCCACTGACCTTTAATTCTTTCCATGTCTTGAATAATTTCTGATTTATAGCAATAAAGGCTTCTTCTTGGAGCATTGTTTTAGGTAGAATGAAGAATGAAATGGAGATGTTAGATTCTTTGGCTCTAAACACACTGCTGGTGCATCAATTGCTATTGCAAAGAACCTCCCCCAGGTTTTCTCAGTTCTTAAAAGTGCAGACTGAGTGTTGTTATGGGGGTGGTGCTTTGCTCACATAAGCACATCCAAGCAAGGCTTGAACTGGACAAAATCCAATTG